GTATTTATATGATTTGTGTATTCACTAGGTAATTATAAGTTGAGCGCTTCACCACTTATATGATATGATATAGATATAATTTTGAAATATAATGAATATGGCCAAAATTGTAGCATTTCAAATATATGGCAATATATTTGGGAAGAATATTATTTAAAATATATTTTTCTTCCATGTGGGAAGCTTTGAACATAAAAACTGGAAGCTGATTGGTTTTCTATGCAGAGCTGCACCAGATTTTGCACTCTCCAGTTTTATTATATCACCGCATTAGCTTCTTCTCATTAGCTCCCAATAAAACCTGTAATATTTCTTTACATCTAGCAGCACTGTGCGGCTTCATCTAATTGCTCTATTCACCATACATTGACTGTTGTACTTTTGCTTACCCCGCATTTTTATGCCCACTCACCTTCCCTCTACTTTCATCAATTGCCATTGTTTTTTATTCTCATAATTTATCTGTACTTCTATCCATGTCTTCTCGCCTTCCTCCTCTGATCAGCACTACCCTCAAAGGAGTCGCTTGAATTTATGCCCAGTTTCCACTTTTCTCACAGCCAGGCACAAAGTATTTTCCACAGCCAGATATACACACTCTCGCACGTTGTCTTCAATGACCAGTCTAGGGGATGTTTGTTTTTGGAGTTTATTGTAGAACTGGGGGTGGAGATGGGGAATTTAGTAGGATACTCCAAGATTAGAACTATAACTAATCTTTTAGTTAAGCACTGTTGAAGTCCTAATGAAGACAGGTAGCAGACTTCTCTCTGGATTGTAGCAAAAAGTATTCTAGGAGTGAGTAAAGTAGCAGTAGTAGCAGGGCTGAGCTTCTCAGGTACAAGATCATTACGACAGACTGCGACAGCCCAAAGGTAACGTAGCTGAGCAAGGTCCTAAGCAGTAGCAACAATTGGACAAGCTCTTCAGAACACTAGCCAGTGTTTCCTTTTCTCAGATCCACGCTATCAAGCACCAGAAGAATAGCAAAGCATACCCCAAGATCTCTCAATGTCTGTACTCACAAGGCCCAAGGACAGAATGGTAGCCACCTTCCAATCTTCCAAGCGAAACCCTCCAGTGATGCCAGACAGATCCATGGCAGACAGCTCCTCTCAGTCAGTTTACTGTAAAACCAGGGTCACTCTCTCTGACTTCAGGCCCTCAGGTTATCCACTGGAGGCCCGCATGGCAGCAAGTGCCAGGCAAGGCAAGCCTGCCTCCAGCCTGGTTTGGTGCAATCCTCTCCAGGGAAAAATGCTGAACCTTCTCACAGAACAATACCGCTCGCAACATGCAATGGGGCCAACCCCCCTTGCAATTGGCTAGGACAGCATCCATATTCATGTTGTTCATTTGCCTAGCCCCTATCCCTGTTCTGGAAGGCTCTCATAGATTCCCAAAGGCAGGCAGAACTCAGACAAACCCAAACAACACCAGAGCATCATGAGCAGACCTAATTACGCAATCACAGCAATCTGTTAAGCAGAAAGCCCATTTAAATTTTCCTAACAGTCTCTCTGTTAAGCAGAGAAACACAGATATGCTCATCCTAACTATACAAATCCTAGCACCTAACTAGGAGGGTGCTACACCTCTGTAATCATTCTTCTCCACTCTATGCAGTGACACACCCTAGAGCAGATTTTCTCAAATAGGGTTCCTCCGGAGGTTGCCAGGGGTTCCTTGAGCAATGAGCATATTCTGATCTTTAAATGAGTAACCAATGGTCTTTTTAGCTATTTGTAAGTAGGGATTCTTCCCAATGACCACAAGGATCACACCAGTGTACTGTGAGCTGTAGATACAGTAAAGAACAATTAGCAGGGGTTCACTGAACCCAAAAAGATATTTCAAGGGTTCCTCCATGTAAAAAAGGCTAAGAAAGGCTACTCTACTCTATTTAGTACACCAGGGGAGTCAAAGTCCATTTCATTTCGGGCAGCATCAGCAGTAAGGTTGCCCTCAAAGGGCTGGTTGTATCTGTAAGGCTTTAAAATGTATATACTTTTTATCATATTAAATAACTGCCTCTGCATTCAATTATTATTGCAGGTGCAGATTGGCATGGCGCCCATCACCCATCGCTCGTATCGTTCACAAGAAACGTTATTGAAGACTGCTCAGACAGGACATGGTTCTGCCATGGTGTTCTTTATGGCCAGTCTCCAATAAAGCTTCTTATGTGTAGCGCTACCCCCCTAGGAACCGCTTGTATCTTGTCCAGGCTTTCCCTAGATCTTCTCCTGCAGCCAAGCACACAGCATTTCCTATAGCCAGGTGCACACAACTTCTGCTTGTTATTCCAATGATCAGACTAGGGATTTTAGTTTTTTGTTGTTTTGATTTTATTTTAGAGTTGGGATAAGGAGGGGATATTGTGGGATACTCCAAACTGAACAATGCATACTTGAAGACAGATTTTTCTAAGTAGATCTGTGTAGTAAACTGTACAAAGACTGGAGCAAAGTCCCTCTGTGGAGATGCAGAACTTAATGGACAGTTGCTCTTCTGGACACCAGCCGGTGTCCCCTCTAGCTTACACCCAGCAGCTGACTGCTGATATAGGTCCCGAGAGGTTTAAACAGCACAAATTCCAGATATCGTATGTACTCTCCAGAGCCTCAGGATATGCACAGCCAAAAGGGAAGCCAAGGATACCAGGTCAGCGACAACCAAAGGAAATGTTCCAGGGGTGCAGCCCTCCTCAGACGGGGAAATCAGCCACTGGATAGAGAGAAAACAGGTGGCGCACACACCTAGTGAATTATCCAAGGTTTATTGTAGGAATGAGATAATAAAAACATACTCACAGACGAAGCATGTATCTAAAAAGCATAGAAAAATGACAATGGCCACAATGGCAGGCAAGGTGTTCTCACTGTCAGTGCGGTCAAATGGCTGACGCGTTTCGGGGATGAATCCCTTTCCTCAGAGCTGATGACCAACCTCTGATGCTGATGTATGATGTATGGACAGAAAGAGCCTCACTGTTGAGGCCTCATTGAGAACACCTTGCCTGCCGTTGTGGCCATTGTCATTTTTCTATGCTTTTTAGATACATGCTTCGTCTGTGAGTATGTTTTTATTATCTCATTCCTACAATAAACCTTCGATAATGCACTAGGTGTGTGCGCCACCTGTTTTCTCTCTACTCAGCACAAATTCCAGCATCCATGTAGCACAGTCTGTGCTCACAAGGTCCTTGCTGCAGGTCACTTTCCTCCGTGATACCAGCCGACTCCCCTTACCTTGTGCTGCTGCTGGGAAGAAGCAGAGGGCAAAGCTGGGAAGCAGAAAGTGAAGTGTCTGGAGAAGGACCAGAAGAGGGCTGAAGTCAGTTGCCAGAGTCTGTTGACTGCTGAGACCAGGCAGTCAACTCTGTAGGAGGAGTTGTGTTCTCCTTTCTGCTGCCGACTGCTAAGATTGGGGGGGTTGTCAGAGACGAGCCTCTTTACAGCTGTACGGAGAGGCAGAGGATCTGCTGCAGACTGCCTATATGCTGCAGATTGCTCAGACAAGGTAATGGTGGAGTTTATGGGGGGTCGCAGCTGCAGGAGAGGTGCGAGGACCATATGAAATAACCAGGTGGGCTGGATCTGGCCCATGAGCCTTGTGTTTGACACATGTGCTGTACACCATGCTGTATTCCAGGTTGATACCCTGTGTATTGTATACTGCAATGAATGATATATACTATGAACCACTTCCCTCTGGATACAGAATGCTGTATAGTACTCTGAACTGCTCCACTCTGTGGTGTTATATTTTTTTTTTCACTGTGATGTGAACACCAGGTTAGCAGCAGAACACTGGAGATTCTTACAGCTCATGCAAAAGGACTCCATTTTTTTCTGCTTAGAGTGGAAACCAATACGAAATGCATAAAATATAGGATGACAATGTTTTCTTCATAACTTCATTTATCTTTTATGAAATGAAATACAGCAGTATCTTTAGTTGGCAGCAATGGTCTGGTCAATGAAGTCTCTGAGTTCAGTGACTCGTGCATACACTCCAGGAGAAGATGGGGAACAAGTGGAGCTTCCCCAGGATACAATGCCAACCAATGTCCAGCTTCCTTCCTTCTCACACACAAGAGGTCCACCGGAGTCACCCTAAAATTTAAGGAGTCCAATTAATTATTTTTTGAAACAGAAAAAAAAAATTCTAAAAGAGGTAATACTGAAAATGTAACTTATTTCAGCTTTGGATAGAGTGGGTGATTACTCTTTGAGGCTTAATTGGAGAGATTTCCGCTCACTTCATGTCCCACATCCAGTCCTGGGAAAAGACCATCCAGTGCCCAGGGAGAAGACAACAGAAAAAAAACTTGTTGGGCAGCCGACCTGCACCACCAAGTGCTGATAGCTGGTGTACCCCCTAAATATGTCATTGGTGCAGATACCGGACTCACTAACAGAGACATCACTACTCCTGTGTTCAGGTTCCTTCTGTCAGGTAGGGCAGCCCCCAGAGGAGTAGGGTGGGTCAGTAAATGATGGAAAGGTGGAAAGGGTGAGGGTGGGCCCTCACACTGGTTGAATTTACACTACAGGCTTCTGCCTCATGGGGCCCTCCAACACATAAAGGAACTGCGCCCAGGGCACCTGTCCCTCCTGCCCCCACCTAGTCCCATCCGCCCACTGCATTGTCACCTGAACAGGAAGTGAGGTATAATCAATCTCCCACATGAATGAAATAAGACACATTGTCATCAGGACGGAAAGTAGGGGGAAATCTCAACTGGGCCATAGACTGTCAGACAGTCTACCCTTCCCCAATCTACCCAAACCAAAATAAAATATTTGTTGAAGATCATAAACTTGGGCAAGCTCAACAGATAGGCAGTGAGATCTCACTTTTTCTAGACATCCAGAAAATGACTGGATTTGATTATCTGTATCAAAAAAAAATTATTTTGGGTGGACTGGTCCTTTAAACAGTTGTCCCCATTACAAATTATTTGTATGACAAGTAAACTTACCATGCAAGAGGAGGCACCACTAGCTCCAGCACAGACCATCACATCATAGATTTTGTTGCCCCAATATTTCTTTCTTGCATTCAGTATTAGTGAGAAGTGGAAGAGCTACCTGCTGCAGCCTGGCTGGGGTTTGGCTTGCTGTAAGGAGGAAGCACCAATAAACCCATTTACATTCATGCTGTATTCCAAACTTTCCTTTTATAACCAAATGCACAGAGGTCCCTTCTTAAAGTGGAACTTGCATTGTATCTGAGCACCACAAACCAAAAATGCTATTTAATTTAATTGTTAATAGTGAATGCAAACTCCCCCATCCATCCATGTCTCCATGCTTTATTTTGCTGACAAAAATTAAAAAAAATACCCCCTAGCATTTATGGCAGTGGCCATCTTAAGTAAAGGCAGATGATTCATGCAGCATATACTTCCTGGAATCCATCTACCCTTAGCTCAGGCATTGGCTAAGCTGACACCCTCCCTCCCTCCTAAAGACTGCTGGGATGTATGGCATCATTTGCCTAGGCAGGAAACCAGGAAGTAACTGAAGAAATGTAAAAAAAAAGTTTAAAATAAGTAAATATCACACATTTCCTATTTCCTATTTACTAATGCTAGCAGAAAAAGGATTAAAAATAGTCAATTAATCTTCTTCACTTTATAACTAAAGGAGGGTTCTGGGCAGAGATTTTCAAAACTCCATGATTTTATGTTTCTCATAACAGCCAATCAGAATTATTATTTTAACTTTTTCATAAAAGAAGAAAGAAGAAAGAAGCTGATTAGTCGCCATTGGCAACAACTACAATTGTGCACTCATTTTGTATTCTCCAGCTTCAATGCATCAGTTTAGTTGTATTTAACATATCACAGTAACCTATGTAGGGTGGTAAGATTTCATTGGGCCAAGAGCAGGCAAAAGTATACAGAATTGGAGCTACTATCAAGGCATATTGTGACTTTTTTTTTTTTTTTCATATTGTGACTTTATCTGCAAACATTTGTTTGAATTTATAGTGAACATTATTTTATGCAGAATGTTGGTTTGGTTTTAAAAGACAGACATGTCCTTAATCTTTTTGGGTTGCGTAACACCTAAACACATTGAACCCAAAATATTGAGGACTTTGTGTAAGTGCAGCATCCTGCACTCATACAGTGCGTAGTAAAAAAAATAAAGCTCCAGGGCTGTCACTGTTGAATTGATCCACTTCCAAAATTGATAGTTGTGTGGCTGTCATGCTGACCTGCTAGCTTCATTACTTTTTGGTGACCCTGACCTGGAACAAGTATATACAGCAGATCCCAAAATATTTAGGACATTCTGTAAGTGCAGTGCATCACCACAACTCCCTAGACTCACATACAATGATGTTGGCCCTGCTCTCTACACTATTGAGGATCACCCACCACTGGAGAAGACACAAGATCTAAAACAGGAAGAGGATGCATGAGTGGCCTGAAGACCAAGGATGGCTGAAAGGCCATGGATGGCCGGAAAGCCATGAATGGCAAGGGCGAGTAGATAAAAGGAGCTCCATTAAAATGTCCTGTTAAAACTATGAGGGCTGTCACTATTGATCCACTTTCAAAATTACTAGTTGCATGCCTGTCGTGCTGACCTGCTAGCTTCGATACTTTTTGATGTCCCTGACCTGGAACAAGTATATACAGCAGATCCCAAAATATTTAGGACATTATTTAAGTGCAGTGCATCACCACAACACCCTAGACTCACATACAACGATGTTGGCCCTGCTCTCTACACTATTAAGGATCACCCACCATTGGAGAAGACACAAGATCTAAAATAGGAAGAGGATGCACGAGTGGCTTAAAGACCAAGGATGGCATGACACTCCATGGATGGCCTGAAAGCCATGAATGGTAAGGGCGAGTAGATAAAAGGAGCTCCATTATAATGTCCTGTTAAAACTATGAGGACTGTCACTGTTGATCCACTTTTAAAATTACTAGTTGCATGGTTGTCATGCTGACCTGCTAACTTCAATAGTTTTGATGTCCCTAATCTGGAACAAGTATATACAGTAGATGAAGAAAATTGAGAAAAGTCAGACATACATACATTTGTTTCAGGTCAGTAACACAAAGTATAGAGGTCACAATGACAGTCATACAGATGGTATTTTCAGAAGGGTCAACAATGGCAACCTTCATGTTTTTCTCATGAAGAACTTTCCTTCAAGTAGCGTACACATCTTTTTATCTTTAATTTGAATAAAAAATGGGGTTTCATACCAGAGGAATCTGTCAGTCCCCATCCAGTGGTGACACACCTCATACCACCTTCAAAGTTATCAGTTGCCTCTGCTACACAGACAGGGGATACTTGTGGTTGGGCAGTGACAGGAGAGTCCAGCTTGATCAGAGTGATGTCATTCACAACTGTAAATGAGCTGTATTTTGGGTGCTTGAAGACCTAAAATACAATTTGTGCAATTAGTTAGATATTACTGAAGTGTGTATCACATTTCACAACAAGTAAAACAGCTTAGGCTCATACTGGGGTAATGGGAAAAATTCTCTAAAGCTACAAAAGGTTGTTAATAGCCCAATTAAATGAAGAAAGGAGGGTAAATATTATTTGTCATATAAGGGGTTATTAACTAAATCTGGAGAGTGCAAAATCTGGTGCAGCTCTCAGCATAGAAACCAATCAGCTTCCAGGTTTTATTGTCAAATCTTAATTAAACAAGTTAAAGTTAGAAGCTGATTGGCTACCAGGCACGGCTGCACCAGATCCTCAGTGCACCAGTTTTAGTTAATCCCCAACATAATGTTTTGCTTTTGTTAAAGCCATGTTTTAAAGTTATGTTGAATTTTATAAAGAATTATTTTTTATGTTGGGATATTACTGCCAAAGATTTTAAAGGGTCAAAGCATCATACATTTGATATGTTGGTACAACACCAAGGCTGCAAACAATTAAAATAAAAGTCTAATCAAATCTGAAGCAAAAATTGAAATGTACCTTGGCAATAGATTTAACCTGAATGTTCTCAGCAGATGAACGTTGATCAAATTCACCCAGAACAACCTTGTGTGAAGTTCTGTAAAACAGAATACATTATTGGAACACGTTTTGTGCATTGGGGTCATTTTCAGGTGTTTATTACAGAGTGTAAAGAACGAGCTGAGAATGCAGACCTGAAATACTTTCATAAACCAATGTGTTTCCCATTACCATATGAAAGATTTGGAGAAGGAAGGAATGGATCATCAACATCAAATCTAATCAAAGACCACTTTGGCCTAACATGTCTCCACAGCAAAGCAAGTTAATACATTTAAACTTGCTTTGTGGCTCAAAAAACCTAAAGCTCAGCTCTGGGAAAATGTAAAAAGTAACCCATGTAGGGGGTCTGCATCTGCATTGCAAGGGTTAAAAACTGCTTCTTTAGTCTAGGGGAGAATTTGTGCACTCTGGCACTCCCCCATGCATTGGCAGTGGACTGCCCCTTGGTGCCATCACATCCAGAGCAAAGCAAAGGATCCTCCATTGGTCTTGATACTGTCAGGACCTTGGACAGGTAGATCATAGGATCAGGTATGTAAATTTTCTTTTCTATGTCCCCTAGACCTAAGCAAGCAATTTTCAACTTTCCTATAGTTGGGCTTTAATGCTGAATACAATTGAAGACAAGAGTTTACAATCTAAAAGGCGGGACAAAAGACAGAAAAGAAATTTATTGTGTGGGAGTGAGTTGTCTGAGAAAGTTAAATTCTGTTGTTAGCAAGAAGTGAGAAAGTCTTTCCTGAACACATGAGTTTTCGGGGAACACCTAAAGCAGACAGAATAGGATATACCCATAAAGGTTGGGGTACAGAATTCCAGAGAAATAAAGAGGCTCTGGAGACATCCTGGAAGTGAACATGGAAGGAGGTGATGAAGGAACTAGAGAGCAGAAGGTCTTGTGAGAATGAGGACAGCTTGGTTGTTTTTTGAGAAGAGGTTGGTTATGTAGCTGAGCAGAGTGGAAGATAGCTTTGTAGGTTGTTGTAAATATTTAGAATTTTATTTGTTGAGTAATTGGAAGTCAGTAAAGGGATTGGCAAAGTGGAGTGACAGACACTCAGTGGTTGGTAGGCTGAATAAGTTGTATATGGGGCGTATTTTGGAAATGTTACAGAGGTGAAGGCAGCAAGATTTGGACAGTGACTTGATGTAGGGCTGAAAGGAGAGACCGGACTTCAGGATTATAGTTAGCACCCTGGTATGAGGAGAGTGAAGGATAGTTATTAATCTCTATGGAAAAGTCTGGTGTACTCTATTCTGTAACATTTTCCCACTGGGTTGTTTTCCCACTTTTCTTTCATTGCATTATCTAAAATGGTCAGTAAAAAATGACTGACTGAAAAAAGAAAAGTCTGCGGAAGGGGCATGGGAGAGGAAATACTATGAGTTTAAGAGTTTTCAACATGTCTGTTAGTAAACTGGAGATGTAGAAGACTGAAGTGGTGAGTTGACAGATAGACAGATATATTCAATGTCATCTATAGAGACATCAGAAGCCATGCAAGGTTATCAACTGGCCAAGGAAAAAGGTTTAGAGGTTGGAGCCTTGCAGGACCCCTACAGAAAGATCAAGAGGAAAGGAGGAGGTAGATTAGTAGGTGACACAGAAGGAGCAATTAGATAGACAGGAGAAGAACCAGGAAAGTCTTGAAAGCCAAAGAAGTGAAAGTTTTTGAGAAAGTGCAGGTGGCAAACTGTATCAAAAGCAGCGGAAAGGTCCAATAGTAAGAGTACTGAATAGTACATTATATTTTCCCTTCTCACAAGTTTGTATTAGGTAACTCCTACCCAGGACTTTGTTTCTCAAAGAATAGATGCAGGTATTCTCTCTATCCTGGCCTACCTCTAGCCCCCTCTCTTGTCTCTGCCCCCTATCTACCTCCTAGTACTGCTCCTTTTAGAGAATACAGAGCAAAGTATAAATTTTAAGTAAATTGTATGGAAATGGTTAATGATAATAGACCCCCCAGGAACAGCAGGTCCCCCAGCAACAATAGATTCTTCCAGCAAACAATAGACCATCCCCCAGGAAAAAATACACCCACATCAGCAATAGATGCCCACCAACAACAATATATCTGCCCCAGCTACAAAAGACCTCTGCTGGCAACAATAGATCTCCCAGCAGCCAACATGAATAGACTCATCCCCCTCAACAGTGAACCCCCCTTAACCCAACAACATAGCAACCCCAAAGCAAAAATTCCCCCACCAGCAACAATAGATCTAAACACAATGGTAGACCCCTCCAGCAACAATTATTGACAACCCCTGCCCTAAGCAATACTTAAACCCCCCCGCTACAATAGATCCACAACAGTCAGCATCAATAGACCCTCCAGCACGCCCGTGCGTTCCCCCACGATCCCGTTGAAAATAAGCTCTGCACCTACCTCACACTACAATGTGCAGCAGTAACAACCCATTCATCGCTGATCAGTGATCCACCGCAGAAGTGAAAACCAGTTCTGTCCTATAACAGGAAGGCAGGAAACAATATATACCCTTATCTTTAAAGGAGCTCTATGGTCACGGCATGCACTTTCATTTTGCAACATCAGCATTATAATAATATAGTAACAATAGATATTTTTGACAATCCATCCAATATAAGCTTGCATGAAACATTTCCTTTCATGTTGTGTGTTCTACCTGTCTGCTTGTCATGTCTTTACCCAACTTCCTGGATTCCCTGAATGATTTGAAACGTCCCTGTTGTTTACTTTCCATTTCTAAGAACTCCCATCATGGAAGAAAAACATATTTGAAATATATTTTTTAAATATTCTTCCCAAATATTTTGACATATATTTGAAATGCTACAATTTTGGTAATATTCAATATATTTCAAAATATATTTCAATTGTATTTTTAAAGATATACAGTATATCTGAAATGTATTTTTAAAAATATTTTTCAAATATTTTATAATAAAAACGCATTTCAGCATATAGTATATACTGTATATATATATATATATATATATATATATATATATATATATATATTAATGAAATATATTTTGAAATATATTGAATATGAGCAAAATTGTAGCATTTCAGATATATCTCAATATATTTGGGAAGAATATTTTTTAAATATATTTCAAATATATTTTTCTTCCATGTAGGTAATAAATGTTTGTCACAGTGGGTAAGTGGTTAGTACTTCCAAATAGCAACACTAGTGTTGTTGGTTCAAATTCCAAAGACTACCTGCCTGGAGTTTGCATGTCCTCCCTGTGGATGTGGGGTTTCCTCCGGGTACTCCGGTTTCCTTCCACACTTCAAAGACATGCTGGTAGGTTAATTGGCTCCTGCCTAAATTGGCCCTAGTATGTGTATTTATGAATGTGAGTTAGAGACCTAAGATTGTAAGCTCCTCGGGGGCAGGGACTGATGTTAATGTACAATATATGTAAAGCGCTGTGTAAATTGATGGCGCTATATACTGTAGGTACTTATAATAAATAAATAATAAAAGTAAATCTATGGGGATCTTCACAAAGTAAGTCTACAAACTTCAAGATCATTCAGATGTCTAGGAACAGGCTTGAAATATTTGAAATGCAATGTGGAAATAAATATATGATTTTTCAGTTTAACCATTGATGCACTTTACAACTTTCCTAGGCAAGAAAAACATAAAATATGGATAATGCTAATAACTGAGAGACCATTCCATGGGGAAAGAATACCATAGGACTCAGTAACTACAAAAGGGGAAAAAAAACTCTAAAGAATTTGCATTCAGCAATGTTATATGTTGGTTGAGGACTTCAAACATGTAGCACTATCCCCTTAGGAGTTGCTGAAGATTTAGGTCCCTTTATCGTCCTGTACAGCCAAGCAGCACACATTTTTCCACTGACTTGCATTCCAGAGACAGTAAACAGTCCTTTAGCTTGTTTTTTTAGGTTTTATTAAGGGTATTGAACTTGGATGGGGTAAGGGGTGTATGGGATGCCTAATGGAACTGCACCTGAGGATACCTTCCTGGAACAATGTACAAATCTTTACACAGAAAGATCTTTTTGGAGAGCTATCCAGCCTTTCATGGTGTACCACCCCAGACCCCAGATAATACTTTTCTTATCCAGCTGTCTGAGGGAATCCCTGGTCAGGGGATCCAGTGCCTGCCACTTTAAGGTGAAGGAGTAAGGAGCTAATCAGGTTTCCCACCAGAGTGCTCTTGTCCCCTTACCTGGCCCAGGGGGTGTAGGACTACTCACTCAGTCCTTTCCTATGAGCTGGTGGGTTGGTAGCTGCTTCCCTGTTGCACAGGTGGTCCGTGCTCTGGGGGCCAATGAGGTCTGAGCGATCGTCCTTTCCAGCAACACTGCCTGGAGGTAGGCCCCTACCCAACTAGGCCCCCTCCTAGGCTTCTTCACCTCAGCCTTCTCACTCCATCTTCCACCCAAACTCTCCTGCTACTGAGCAGGCTCTAGCACATTTAAAGGCTGCCCTGGCCCCATGCCAAGCCTCCTGCTTGGGGATTGGCCAAGGTCCCGAAAGTGTTCAGGCTAGCCCCTCCTCACCTCCACCCACTGCTTCTAGAATCTTCTCCAAAATTCTAGAGCAGGTAGAGCTATCAAGGAACTGAACTGCAGAGCCTCTCAGCTCTGATCTAAAAAAAATATGACTCAGCCTTCCTAGCTGAAAAACCTGAGCTAGCTCCCCCTAGCTACCTAGGAGGATGCTACACATATTTATAAACATTTTTGTAAATTAAACATATACAACGTAACATGCATTAAGTGAAAATTCAGTGTTTGCGTTATTCTGAATTTTGATACTCGTTTTTTCTGTACTTTAAATGCAAATGTGGATTATAAAATACCCTGTTTTAACCTCTGCCTTGGCTGTTTTGTGCCTTGAAATGGCCATGGTATAAATTACAATGGAAAGCAATCTTACCTGCAGAGAGACTTGCCATGGCCAGGATCCTGGAACGGCCTCCTCACCATTCACAATTCTGGAATATCCAGTGAGGACAGGATGGATGGATGGCCTACCACAACCTACATTACGAAACATGAAAATGTCACAGTATAAAGTTTATAGATTGGTATGAAAGAATCAAATAATTATGTAAACAGAAATGCTGAAATGTGTGTATAGAGCAAAGGTGACGAAGTACAATAACCCAGGACAACCAATTCATTTTACTACTTATTGCAGTGAAAGATTACTTCTGATTGGTCACTCTATGCACATCTCCATTGCCTTTTGCCCAGTCCTTTTGAATAAGTGTTTCACAAATGTGCATGTAGAGCTTGGACCAAACCCACCTTTCAAGTTTTTTTTATAGTGAGGCTGAGCAAGGATAAAAAAAAAAAAAGCAGCTTTAGCTGCAATGTTCACCTTTAATCCAGAACTGTCCACTGCAGTACTTTCTACCACAAGATACCACCAGTCTACTGGAATATATGATATCCAGCATCATTCAGGCCTCTTCCTGTGAGCCCAGGCCGTCATGGACATGCATTATTGCCCGGGCTCACAGTACTCCTGGACAGCCTGGAGTTCACGTAATGATGTGTGAGTGCCAGGTTGTCTAGAAAGAAAGACTGCCCCCTGCCACTGCCAAGGAGAAGGAAGGACCCATGAAGTCAGCAGGGTTATCAGAAGACTGCAGTAAGAAAGGTACATATGTATAATGGGAATTTTGTGTTTAAAAGGAAGAAGGAGCGGTTCGGGTATAGGTGAACTTTAATGAATCTTTGAATTATTGGAAAACCACAGGAATGGTCAACAGGCTTGAGTATTTCTAGACATTATTATTATTATTATATACAGGATTTATATAGCACCAACAGTTTGCTCAGCGCTTTACAATATAAAGGGAGACAATACAGCAACAATACAGTTCAATACAAGAGGGTTAGGAGGGCCCTGCTCCTTGGAGCTTACAATCTAAGAAGGAGGGGCTGGTGGCACAAAAGGTAATAACTGTGGAGGATGGACTGATAGGAGGAATAGAAGATTCCATTATTAGCTGAAGGCAGGATAGGCTTCCCTGAAGAGACAGGTTTTCAGAGATCAACTAAAAGTGGGCAGAGTAGTCTGATAGATTGGGGTAGAGAGTTCCGGAGGATGGGGAAGGTTCTGAAAAAGTCCTGGAAACGAGCATGGGAGGAGGAGACAAAGGAGCTAGAAAGCAGAAGGTCCTGGGAGGAGCAGAGAGGACGGTTTGGGTGATATTTGGAGACAAGATTGGTGATGTAATTTGGGGCAGAGTTATAAAGGGTTTTATATGTTATTGTTAATGATTTGAATTTTATTAGTTGGGCAATGGGAAGCCAGTGGCACAGAGGGAAGGCAGATATGGAACGGTTAGTAAGGTGGATGAGTCTGGCAGCAGCATTCATGATAGACTGAAGAGGGGATAGCCTGTGATGAGGTAGGCCAATGAGGAGGGAGTTACACTGGTCAAGTCGAGATATAACAAGGGATTGAATAAGTTGCTTAGTGGTTTTAGAGGTTAAGAACGGTCGTATCTTAGAGATGTTGCAGAGGTGAAGTCTACAAGATTTGGACAGTGATTGGATTTGGGGCTGGAAGGACAGATGGGAGTCAAGCGTTACACTTAGTACCTTGGCATGACGGGAGGGACTGATGGTTAAATTATTGATCTTGATGGAGAAGTCGGGGGGGGGGGGGGGGCACGGGCTGGAGGGGAATAGTATGAGATCTGTTTTAGAAATATTAAGTTTGAGGAAGTGGAGTGACATCGATGCTGATATGTCGCACATGGTTATTTCCATAATATAAGATGTTCTACAGCTAGAAAAATAGGTATATGGGTATAATTAATGATTTCAAGATTTTTTTTCAAAGACTATGTTTGATCTTCTTTAGTATGTACCTACCTCTGTCAGCTTTCCTAGGATTGGGAAACAATATATTTTCTCTTTGCAAATTTGTTTTATCTCTTATCTGCTATATATGCTGCAATCTTTCCTAGTTATGACACGTTTCTTCAAGCAATAGGTGCATGGCTTTTCTTAGGGCGAGTTTCCTGATGATGCCAACAGTGGATCAAGCCTGCATACAGTGCGTTCAAATATCCACTTGTAGTCACCATTGAAATGGTGTGTGACCGGGTGACAAGGCACAAGCACAGTTGGGAGGCAGGGACAAAGTGATGTGGAAGAATCTGAGCAAAACATTCATGGTAGGATCACCAGGTATTATTCTAATGAAAGCCATAGATTACATTTATCTGAACTTCTATCCCCCAATGACATGAAATACCCACAATGCTTCTCATTGCCATTGACCATGCAATGTATGCTTAGACTTTAGGTGACATGAGGGATCAAGCGTTCTATTACTCTTACACTCTTCACTTATGGTCACTGGTAAGGCAGTACAACCATCCCTCCTGTACTGGGCCCAGTCCCCATCAGTTCAAAAGGGGGGCCAATGCACCTGTTAACCTGGTGTTGCCAGCTTTTATTCCTCTTTCCTCGTTCAGTTCTAGCATCTGTGCCCCCACCACTCTGATCAACCCCCCCCCCCCGCTGTCCAGTTACCCCATGTGCGCTTCTTCCTCTGCAGCACTGCTGGGCACCCCTGTGTGCCCCCCCCCCTCCCCTGCAGTGATAATGACTTCCCTCCTCTCTTCTCCCGGCAGCAGCTGCTGAGGGAACACAGGGGTGTCATTTCAAGATAGAGAGCGGGGAGAAGGGGGCGGTAAATATGTCCTATTTACCGACCCCTTCCTTTTCTGAGTGCACACAGTGAGTGATCAATACTGATCACTCACTGTGTCCATGCATCACTGAAGCATAGTAAACTGTATTTACTATGATTCAGTTTGTGAATAAACAGGAAGCCTCAAAAAGCGCTTCCTATTCATTAATTTGTGCAGCTGAGGCTGCAGAGAAAGAGACTGATGTATCTATGTCCTTACTCCGTTTCTCAGTCTCAAATGCAAAACAGGAGTATGTTTAGACTCCTGATATTTCACGAAAGCCCCCCCCCAACAGGACAGTTTAAAACATTTTAAAAATAAATAATACAATTCTAAAAAAAAATTTAAAAAATTAAAATAAAAAAAAAACAGTAAAAAAAATGAAGGACTTGGTAATGTGTGCTATGTTCTCTGAAGAGCAATTAGCATTTGGATCGCTCTTCAGAGAGCATTCAACAGATATTGAGGTGGTATATTGCCTCCTCACCACCTGCTTCAACCCCACATTAGTTCTATTCACTTGAATAGATCTTGTTTGATAAGGATATTGTGACGGGAGTCACTTTGGGTGGGGGGCCCATGGAACCCAGCTCACTTTGGAGAGGTTGGGAGACCCCTGTCTCATCTCCCCATATCCCTCTTATGTGTAAATCACCCTGTGCCTGTTAGGGGTACAGGGTGATCTGTCCCAATTTTGTGTGGGGGGTTGTTGATTGTTTAATGTCATGTGGTTGCATCCCGTTTTTCTATTGTGTGTCTTGCTTGGGAGCAAACTATTATGGGATGTATGTGTTTATGTGTATTAGCTTAGTAGGGGGTTTCTCCAGCAGCCCTCCCTCCTGATGGGACTGTCTGCTGGTGTGAAGTTTGAATACCCGTGTGTCTGTTATTACTAAATGTAGATTGCCCCATCCTGTGTCATTCTGCAGGGAGGGGGGATTATCTCCGGAGTGTATATATCTTGCATCTTTGTTCAAATAAACTAGTCTACCTCCTGGTTTACTTCCAGACTGGTGCCGTCTAGTCTTGTATGGTCAGCTGTGGTGTCTGTTGTCAGTGTTTGGACAGGGAAGCGGTATTCTAACGGAAGTACTCAAGCGCAGTCTGGGTTGGTTCCATTACAGATATAATTTTTGCCATGACTGCAAGGCACAGCATTATGGCTGTGGCATTTCAGCAGAAATATAATTTGTTATAGGCTGTACGGGACTCCATGATTTTTAATAGCAGCCCTTATGATGCCTATGTATTCCACTTCCAATGGCTTATCCACAGCAGATAGAAATATACAGAAACACAACTATTTAAATGACAAAAGCAATTCATCTGTATAAATGTTATATGGACCTTACCATATAACCAACACAACTGTCATGATATACTGCCTTAGATACATTAGTACATTTCAGTATAAAAAGAAAAGCTTGTCCCAAAATAATTGTTTATCATAAAGTAACAGGTCAATTCTAATTAATGAAAGTCTTAAAACAATACTTACCATAAGTAGCACTTACAAGTGCTATAAATGAGAAGAGGGCAAATAGTGCCATTTTCTTACAATGAGGATTTGGGACCCTCTGATTTGTTAGCAATCCTTTTATACACATGGCAGACCAATGAAATACTGACTAGTTATCCGAGGGCTGGGAATCATTCAGGGAAAGTAACATTTGGTTATCAATGGAACCTTGAGAAGTACATTTGGCACCTACATGGTGTATTAAATCATAATCAAGACAGGCTTGTGGCAAGATGACCAATTAATTAATTCAGATTTTATAAGAAGATGTGAGAGTTACACAGATGTCATTATATCCCATGCTAAAGAGACAGACCTTCTAGGTTACTGAAACAATGCTATAGATGTGAATATTTTCAACTAGTCTATGCATCATATTCCCTTAGTAAAATAAATATTGTTGTACCTTCATGCATCACAAAAGGCCAGATATCAGTAAAGTTCCACTTGGGTAACTTTTAGGAAGTATTTTGTTCTTTTTCAAATGTTGCTTTATGCATTGATATACCTCCTTAGCACCATCCACAGGCAGCTTAACTCTTCAATAAGACACAGAAGTTGAATTCAATGCAATTTTACTTCAGCTAATTTCAGTACAATGAATGTTTGTCCAATCTTTTGAATTGTTAGAAGACAATGACTTTTCTGAGTCTGTAACTAACACTAACTGAGGAAACAAAGATGAAATGGGGAGGGTCTATCTAGGATTAAACAAACTAGCACTAAACAGGATGGGAGGACAGAGGAAGATGCCATACAAGTTGTACT